GACCTAGCCAACTAATTAGAGCAAGGACCAAAAGTTCCTAAAGTTTAGTGTTAAGAAGGCATTATGAAAGTGGGATCATGAAGGCCACATCCGTAACTACATGTCAAGTTAGCTCTTTCAGCCACCTAACCCTCATGCAAGGGATAAAAGAATTGAGAATATCATAAAAGTCAAAAGCAAGGATTGTAAAATCCTACTAAAAAAGTCAGTGGTGACTGTTTAATTGTTCCATATCGATAAAACCATCTACTTGCTTGAACTAGTATGGATGTTTCAAGCTGAAATGCTTGTACTATATGATTTTAAAAACACTAACTAAAAATAGCCTGGTGTTTCACAATTGTGATTGCATTTTCCTGTATAGGAGCCATCGATCAACTACAGGCGAGCCCTAGATTGTATATTACCCTACTAAAGAGCCATAGGAATTAGTCCTCCTTGCCTTGTTTTATCCCATCTCTAGGTAGGATAAAACTACCTTGGAAATCGCCACTTTGAAGCTTTATCGTGACCGCTCATAAAATCTTATCTATATACATTTTGTTAGAAGCGTCATTTAATAATCACGTCATAGTAGAGAAGCTTAACTTTCATTAGGGCTACTTTTCTCATATAAGAAGACCTGTGGCTTGGAGAGTGTATCTAGTGTAGAGACAAGGCCATCTATGAAGAGAAAGCCTTTGATCCCTTGTCTACAAATTTTCATAGGGACATTATTGCTATTCAATTAAGTCTGCAAGAGGGTCTCTTTGAAAAAACAAAAGGATTTGATCCATGCTATGCATGTCGTAATCACCTACTCTATTCATCTAAAGGAGTGAGTAAGCAACATTACTAGGCTCTTCCACTAAGAAGTCACTCACACTACTTTCACCATATGAATCATCGCAACCTCAAGTTTTGGAAAACTTCATAAACACTATGTGGTACCAAAATCGTGGAGAGTATCACAATTAGCTCCACTTCAATACCATGATTAACACCACTTACTATAAATTGTAAGAGCATATAACAAAAGGGATAGTTAAGTAAGGGTATACCATACAAGCATTGAAAATTGTTATAGCACTAAAATTTTCTTAGTTAGAGATGGAAATCGATACAGTATCGGTATCCTAATACCGAATACCAAATAGAGCCCTAAACTCAATCTCATAATTAATTCGGTATCCCAATCTCAATCCCTAAAATTTTGTTCGATGTTTTCTTTCAAAATTACAAATCAAATTAGAAACTCAAATACTAGCTTCACAAATCATCTAAAAAATATAAAAATAAAAAATTGTGTGATGTCAATACTTATACAAACGAATAGGGAAAAAATCTCAACTATAATAACAACACTCTAGGAAAATGTTGTGCAAACACATAGCAAACTAAAACAACAAACTGAATCATGGGAAGACTAAGTAATCCATAAACATACTACAAAAACTTGATATAAGATGTTAAATAGTGAGCAAATGAGCTATGTATAATTAAATGACACTTTTTTTGTGTGGTTGTTGAGTGTCTTGTAGTAATGAAGAAAAGAGTCTACTTGAGAGGGATGAAATACACACTAGCTTATATTTCGGTATTGATCGGTATTCCGATATATACCGATTACAATCCCATAATCTCTATACCGAATAACACTTGAAATTCAAGTTCAATCCCAATCTCAATCCTAAAAAATATACGTGTATTCAATAATACCACATATAAACAAATACGATATTCGATTATAACAAATACCGGTATCAAACTTCCAGGCCTACTCTTACTTACAAGTATAGCTATTAAGTCTAATTGACACATAATCAAGCATTTCACCAACTCTGGCTTCAAAAGCAAGCCAAGAAGATTAGATCATGACACATAATACCTTCTCTAAAGGGTCGTTTGGAAAAGAGTCGTTTGGAAGTTGTGATTGTTAAATAGATGTATTGTTAAGAATGCATGTATAATATTATATATGTATTGTCGAATTTGATGCATTGTAGAATACAACGTTTGGTATGTGTGATTGTGTATGTCGCATCAGCTAAAAGCTGAGACAAAACAATCTCAACTCAACTATCTCAACAATCACATCTAAAAGTTGGGATATAACAATCACTCAAAATGAGTGATAGTTTCTGTTTCATCATAGAAACAATCCATGTATTGTTTCTGCTAAAAAAACAAAAAAACGATGCATTATAAACAATACATGTATAAAGACAATCTCAACAAAACAATCGCAACTTCCAAACGACCCCTAAGTGTAAGCTTAGTATGAAACTCTCCCTTAATTACAATGTTAGTACCATATTGCCTATGAGATTTGTGTTTCACAACTAGCAAGCCACTCTTACCCTTGGATGCATACCAAGGGATAGGCATGTGTTTGACAAATGAAACAAACGCTTAAGCCCCTTAATGTATATGACAACAAGCCAGCATTGTGATAGAGCCCGGATCTACAGGGTCACTGATAGGGATAGATAATTGAGAATTAGAAATTAGGAGAGAACAAGGGATTGAGAGAAATAGACTTAGGGAGGATTTGAGAAGGAACAAGAGAGAGTTTGGTCGAGAGAGGGGGACGAGGAGAAGAGGAAGAATTCGGCCAACTTGTGAAGGAAGAATACTAGGATTAAGTGAATTATTCATCTGTATTTGCTTTATGAATCCCAAACCACAATTACATAATATCTAGACCTAATAAGCTAACAAATTCCCTTGAAGTACCATAATTAAGTCCTATTACTGAGATACCAAATAACTCCCTAAATTCCTGCAAAAGTGCCCAAACAACATTAAACATAAAAAATAATCCGAATATCCAAAGACCCGATAGAAACCAGGTTTCTACTACATTGCAAGTCTTTTGAGGAAAGAACTACGCCTTAAACGACTATACACTTAATCCCACACCTCATGTACGTATAACTAAACAAGAAAACAACAAATTAACGAAGTCACCTTAGATACCACAATACAGTACAAGTTAGATAGCTCTAGCTCATACTTTGGAAAGAGCTTCACTAACCATTTTCATGGCAACTGAAAAGATAGCATTAGGTCGATCCAAAGAAAGCAGGCGAGTCAGAGGTATATAACAATGCATCGGCAGTACCACAACAGCTATGTTCCCTGTGTTTAAGGTCTAAGAAAGAGGTTATGACGTCGTGCAACATGTAGCACCAAAATGCCATATATTTCCCAGACAAGCAAACAAATATACCAGCAGGTGCAATGACTCCACGTTAAATGCTTGCAGAGCATTTGTTGGTTCGTTTGTTCATCTGTTCTCTTTTGGAAATTGCATCTAGAAGTTAGATTCTGAGTTTCGGGCCTTTCCTTGACGCTTGCCAGCTTTCTTGCTAACAGTTCTCTGGCACCATATCTGGTGGAGGATGTGCATGTTTCTTTTATTGTTTAGCTCTTTATTTTAGCTGTTGAGGATGTTTGCTCCATTTGCTGTGGATCGTGTGCATGCTGCTTTGATAAGAACTTCTAGCTCAACAGAGTATGTCTTATCAGAATTATAGGCCAATAAGCTCCCATTCAATCTGACACTAACTGTCACCAGAACTCTTACAGGAAACAGCTAATCTGCTTCTGTATCTACTATCTGTCTGAGTGCATCTCCTTACATTTCTGAAATTTTCCACTATCTTTGGCCCAGTGCACCGTTTGGAGCCTTACTATAGCTATTGATTGATGTGATATACAGTTTAGAGAGAGTCATCCAACGCTACCAGGCTCACAAAGATTCAGACGCTGCAGTTAATGAGCATACAAGCGGGACCGAGGTTTCTTTCCAGACCCCTTTATCTTATCAGATAGTCAGTATTGAACTCCTAGTTCTAGAAGATAATGCTTAACTCCTAGTTCTAGATGATAATCGCTGCCATCAAGTTGAATTTTGGATTAGTCATACTCTGTTGTATTCGGCCGTCCGTACATAGCACTACAGAGTACAGACCTTGGTTTGCTCACTTGAACTTTATATCCAGCTAGAAAGTTGCAGCATGTTGTCCTAGAAAATTATAAGCGGGAATTATGTGTGCATTTAGCTCCCTGAGAGTGAGCTACTGTATCATTATTGACATGAGAACATAGGTATTTAGCTTGCATGTAATCTTAGTACGTACCCACAGAATAAATCCATCTGGTACCCTAATACCTCAAATTCTCGACTCACTAAACTGTCAGAAGAGAGGAAATAAACTGACTGGAAAATCTATAGGAAAGATGGATAGGTTTAGGGAGGAGCTTTGTCTCTAGTCAATTGCATTGCAGGGTCTTTTGGCATAGTCTTAAAAGCATGCAACAGAAGCTCACCCCTAGGAACATCAGGAATCTGCTTTTAATCTATCAGTCAGGAAAGAAAAAGAACCATCAAAAGGAAATAGAGACAGAATTTATAGAACAAACAACACTGGCCACATAACTGGCAAACAAGACGGTGCTAAAAAATAGCTTCTTCAGGACATACTTTATTCATCTCCTCGCTGCCCAGCTTTTCATATTTCCTATTTGATTCATGTGAAAAAGTAGATGATATTTTTTCATCAAAGTGTTATGACTGAAATTGTAGCTTCTTCTTCAAGTGCATATCAAATTGGTGGAATACTGGATTACATTTATCAGATTATATGAATTGTAGTTTCTTCTTCAAGTGCATATCTAATTGGTGAAATACTGGATTACATGTATCCCATTATATCAGAAAGAGAGACACTGATGACGAATAGAGAGGGAAGGGAGTTTCTATGGGTTGTAGGTTAAAGTTGCTCGGTTACCTTTTGCTTTACCCAACGATAGATTAGATTCCAAGTCACCTACAAAACCCTTATGAAGCAATGGTCCTCGAGAAAAGAACCATATGCCTGCTTTGGTGCTTACCCAGTGTGGGAGCTACATGTATGTGACCCATGTTAGATTGCATCCCTAATATTTGACGTTAGTTAGGTTAGAAAATGTGAATCATACAATAAATATACATTGGAAATCGACAGGATAGTAGACTGTCAGCTCTTCCTCATCCAAGACCCAGCTCAATTATTTTGTATTTCTAGCCCTCCACCCTAAATCCTGCCTTTGCGCCACTATGCTTTCCTGCTTGGCTCTCTGGATTCCTTTTCTGCACAAAAGGTGAATCCTTTGGAGGGGGTGGTCCTTTTTCTTTCTTGGCATAGACACCCGAGGGATGCCATTCTGATAAAATTCATGCTGCAGTTATCTTTCTTTCTATCCGAGATTGAACTATAGTGGACTGGATTTTTCTCTCTCAGTATCGTTGGAGGAGTTTACCTTTCTTATTTACTTTCTATAAGCTGAGTAATGACTCCAAAATTTTAACTCTTAGTAGAACAATAAAGTTGCTGAGAATCAGAAATTCTCTACCTGGCTGTACTATTTATAGGTCACTTCACTGACTGCTGCTTACTATGAACACTCGTTCCTGCTACTCTGAAAAATCATGAAGATCAGGTTTATCAGGATACCAAAAACAAGCCGAAAGCCTCGACTGATTCTTGTGAGGAAAAAACCGTAGATAGGCCTATTTTCCTTAACTGTTCTGGTATCATGACATGGTAGGAATATCTACGATGCATATAACTCTTCTTCCTAACTTTCTCAAACTATTCACTTTGTCCAATCCTGCAGAAGCAGCTGCCTGCATGGACGACTCCGGATGCTGGTCCGGACTTGCTGCTGAGTGTTCAGAGGTAACAGACATACCAGACCTAGCTACAGGCCTTCTCCTTGTACTTAACTACAGACTTACAGTCCTCACCTGCAAATTTCTGCAGGCATGTGGAAGCGAAGACTGTGGAGCAGCTGGATTCAGCACAAGTCATGCAACTAGAGAGGAACCTGCAGTCCTTGCTCGGAGAGGCCCAAGTTCGAAAGGTCAGTCTTCAAGCACAACTGTGCCTTCTACAGAGCTTGTGTTAGAATAGGTTCAGAGAGATGATACTTATATCACTCGGTCTAGCTAGGAGCTTTATAGCTTTGTTGATGTTGTAGTCAAGTAAGCTCTAGTTCTTAACTGACCAAAACAAAGACACCCTGCTTTAGAGGGGAGTTGCAACATTTCCTAGTATGTTCTTCATCTAGTGGTTCATCCTAATTCATAACAATGAAATAGAGGCATCCGTCTCTTCACTGTACCCACTCTGTGACTTCCAGTTATCATATTCGTTTATTCTACCTGTAGATATGTTCAAATATGATTTGAAGCAGAAATTTGACATTATCTTGATGGCTTTCTGCAGACAGAGCTGATGATTGAAGCTGTTACGAGCTTTCAGCAGCAGGTACACATATCCTGTCACGCTTAGTTTTCATAAATTTTTAACTCATTGTCCCCATTGTGCGTTCTCCCTTGTCTCTCTGTGGTGACTAAACCCAGGAAACAACAACCATTACAGTATAAACATAGCTTTTGATTTCTTGCATTAGGAAGAAATTGCTATGAACAGTGACAGGTGAGTTGATGAATGTGGATCTTGTATGACTGACTAGCATAGAGCTGTGAGTACCTATGCGTATGAGAGAAACAAGGCTGGATTTGAGATTTGTAGAGAATAGAAACACCCCTGCTTAGTAGCTGTGGATTCTGAGCCTAACCCATATACCGGTTTTTGGTGTAAGAATGTTTGAATCTAAATACTTGCCATATCTAGTCATTGCCTAGGTTCAGATATTTTTTTCTCAATCAGCAGCTGCTGGAACCTATCTGCTTGGAAAGAAAGAAAACAGAAAAGAAAGGGAGAGAGGGTTATGAAAGAGAGGTTCCTTTGATTAAGGGAAAGAGCAATTGGGTCATAATTCTTTTGCTTTCTTCACTAGTCCTAAGTGAATGATGGTCATAACTCATAAGGATAATGAATGGAAGTAACATCCAATATCGAAAATGGAGTTGCTGTTAAGGCCAAGTAATTATGAATCCTGCGAGTACTGTTTTATTGGATTTCTTTTTTGTTCATACATGAAGAAGACACAGGGAATAAAACAGGGAAGTTTCAGACTTCTACTTACTGTTGTACTGTGATTTAGGGACTACAAAAGGCATCAGCTTTTGCGAGTGCATGGCTCTTTCTAGAAAATACCTTTGGCCTGAAACAAACAAAACAAGTGAAACTAAACATACGAGAATCTATGTCAGTTAATTTTTAGGTGTAAACACTATGGTTATACCTCAAAAGTGCCATGCCTTCCCATTTTTGTCCCAACTCCAATAAGATTCTCCTCTCTCTCTTGCAGGAGATGCCTCTCCCCCCAGAAAGCCTGCTGATGGAAAACGAGGTACAAAGAACAAAAGAGTGAAAACCCACCATTCAATTTTGGAAACTTGCAGTTGCATGCAATCACAATTGCTTGCCTTATTGTTGATATATGATTCCCACAGCTCTCAGCCATAACCAACCAGCAGAGCCAGAACCAGAACCAGCAGCACGAGCAGGAATTGGACGCCATTCCAAATCCAAACCAGCAGCAACAACTTTTCCTGATGGGGATGCACCTAAACAACAGCAACAAATGTGGAGGTGGAGATTCCAACATCGTCCCAATCCAGCAATTGCAGCATCATCAACAAAACCAGCCTTTTCTCATGGGTATGCATCTGAACCACGACAACCCCTCTACCACAAATCATAACAACACTAACAGCAGTATCAGCAATGGCGGTGCTGGATCAGGTCCTTCTGTTGCCTCTCTGCTCCAGAGGGATGCCTTCCAGAAGGGCATCCTTCATTTCTTCTGACCAGACCAGAAAGAAACTGCATGCAGAGAAAGAAGCATGCATCCACCCATCAGGAAAAAAATGAAGCTATTTGTACTACTTTCCTAATAGTTTCTGAGTTTTGTGACACTAGCCCCAGCAGCCCTGCACTGGGGAGTGTTCTACTAGTAAATAAGATGATTTTCTGGGTAAAGAGGAGGAAAAATAGCAGCGGTAGCTGCTTGCTGCAATCCATGGTCATATCTAGATGTTATTAGTATTACATGTGTTGTAAAAAGGTCTGCCACGTGTGCCTGACATTGCCACGTCTCATGTCTGAGAAAGTACCACCTTGGAACCGTGGGCTTTCAATTATAGTTATGTACTATTCTAATCTTAATTAATAACATATAATTATGTGTGCCAGCAGGTGATGTATGTGTAATGTGTTTGCCAACAAAGTTTGTAGGGGTAAAAATGGGTTTCAGGCGACAAGGTGATAAAAGGTATTTGACAAATACAAATATGAGTTTTTTTTTGTGTGTGTGGTTTGGAATTAAATTGTCACTTTGTGAAAATTTGTTGGGGAACACTTATGACAATGAAGCTTCAAGGTCTCCGGTAGGAATTTGAGATGTGGAAGGCAACCTTGAATTGATTCTGTCAATGGAGATTACGAGCTACTAGAAACTTCAAAACGTTGTGTTTTGGACCTCACATTCAAATGTTAGATGTTATATGGCTAAATTACATGTTTGGTCACTCAAATTACATTAATCTTTCACATTTGCCACCCAAATTATTTTTCTTTCTTATTCGCCACTAACTTTACGAATCGTTTCACCATAGTCACCGACCGTTAGTCTCCGTTAACTGCGTTAGTTTTTTGATGACGTGACAAACAGACCACTGACTAGACCGTTAAGTTAATGATATGTTAATTTTAAAAAATTAAAAAAATTAAAGAAGGCAAAGTACTTGGCCCACCTTCCCCTTCCCCTTCCCCATCTTCTACCTTTATCTTTCTCTTCCCCGGCGACCGGCGTCAACCTTCCGCTGCTGCAACTAGCATTGGTTTTGTTTAATTCCTTTCTTTCTTCCCTTCCCATCCAAGCCCCCCTCATTTTCATTTGATGCCTGCCAACCCAAGAACACCCACCCCAGAGACATATCCTCCTCCCACCTCAATTTCGTCCTTGTAAGTTCTCTCTCTCGACAATCTCTGTCGATCCTTTCCCTGTGAAAATGAAGGCGATCTCTGTTGATCAATTACCTAGTTGCAGCGGCTGCTTCCACTATGAGATTGATTCTTGTGAGGTGAATTGGAGGGGGAGAAGACATGGTTTGAAGGGTCGGCTTAGGAAGGAGCAATGAGGTTTGGATGGGGCTGGCGATGGGAGAGGGCGGAAGGAGGAGAATCGAGAGATGGGTTTGGGTGATCTGCGGAACAAGGATATGCGAAAAGGCGAGAAAGACTGAAGTGGTGCTGGGGAGAAGATTTAAGAACCGCGAGGCAATCCATTTCTGCGACGGAACGAAAAAAAAGAAGAGAGAGATGGAAAGCAGGAGTTAATTGATTTGTGAGAACGCCAGGATTGTGGTTTTTTACGAAGACAGAATTACGAAGGATTGTTGCGTCTGTGTGTGGATGCATGTCTAGACCGACAATCTCCGTCGTTCTTTTCCCTTTTGAAAAGGAAGGTGGTCTCCATCGATCCTTTCCCTAGTTGCAGCGGCGGCGGAGAGAGAGAGAGAGAGAGAGAGCTTAGAAGGACAGAATTGCAGTGGAAGGAGGAGGAGTTGAGGTATCTGGGGCGCTAGCACTAATTGCAGAGGCGGCGGCCTCAACGTCGGGGAAGAGGAAGATAAAGGACGAAGATGGGGGGGGGGGGGGAAGGTGGGCCCCACTCCTCCGACTTTTTTAAATTAAAATATCATTTACTTAATGGTCTAGTCAGCAGTTCCGTTTGCCACGTCATCCATAAACTGACGGAGTTAACGGAGTCTGACAGAGACTGACGGTCGGTGACTACGGTGAAACGATTCATATAGTTAGTGGCGAATAAGAAATAAAAGTAATTTGGGTGGCAAATACGAAAGATTAATGTAATTTGAGTGAACAAACGTGTAATTTAGCCGATGTTATATTATCTTTTCTCTCGGGTCATGTTCAATGAAGCAACAAAAGAATATCAAAAGCCTAACCACCATCTAGATGTGATCATATTGCAACGCCATTATACAATTATTATTTTTAAATAATACTTGAGTTCCATTGATAGATGAAAATCAAAGGCTCAAGTGGGTTTACAAAATGGATAAAAAAAACCCATCAAGATACATGACAAGCAAAAGAAAACTAATAGGCCAAATATGACTAAGCCCAACTTTACCTTAAGACCCAAACAAACCCTAACAAGCCCACCCCACCCTACAACCATCTCTTCTACTCCACTGTCGCAACCGCACCAAACACATAGATGGGGAATAACTGAAAGAAACCGCCAACTGAAGATGGACGAGCCCCAACTTTTCAATGGGACAGGATGATCCCCTTATGATGAACGAGATGAAACCTGCAACAACAAAGAGACTAGAGACAGCCAAGGAAAGAATTGTACGCTGTCTTCAAGCTCATCAAACATGTATCTGAAAGACAGACCAATAGGCACCTAGACTTCTCCGAAATACCACTAACAGTTGGGTAAAGCATGGAGGTGGATGACCAGATCTGAAAAGGCGAAGACAAACCGCAAATTGCACCTCAACTCCCTTTGCTCCCAAGAAACATGCGAAAAACATCTAAACCTGAGAATCTCATACTAGGAAGAAGCAGAGCAACCATCTACATGAGAGGTTAAGAAGATGAAGTCCCACAAAAAGGAAGGAAATCACAACAAAGGAAACAATATGTACTTAAACCAATAAAGTGAATTGGACGAAACTAAACAAAAGTAAGGAAACAGAGGAAAACGAAACGAGAATCAAAGGAAGCAGAGGGTTGTCGCATGTCGCTGGGGAGACGTCAGTAGTAGCCCCATGGCTGGCCGAAGAAGAAGGGATAGAGAGAGGTCAGAGGAAAAATGATAGAGAGAGGTTAGAGAGAAGGGGTTGTTTTCATTTGCACCATTATCATCCTCAAAGGCAGTACACAAGATATGATCAGTTGTGTTTTTTTTTTTTTTTTGCTTTCTGACTTTGAAGAAGAGCGAATGATTGGTTGGATTCTTATCACCCACAAACATACTTGGGATGATCTTTCCCAAACATTTGTGGACAACTACTTCTCCTCAATAATTGTTACACGCATGTTCACAACACTTTTTGGTCAAGAAAAGCTGGTTGACATACTCAATAGGGGATTGATCAACAAGACTGCTTATCTAATCAATCAAGCACCTGATGGTGATGTGATCCAGTTTACTGTCTCGACCCTAGAGGAAGCATTGAATATCTATGCTTTCAGGGCCAGAAAGATGTTGAATTGATCTAGGAGAAGTCGACAAGCTAAATTAGTGAAGGATGTTCCAGAAGTTATAGATCCGCAAGCTGCTTTACTTGAATAATTGAAGGTGTGTTTAGTAGCTCTTAAGATAATTTTTACTATTTTGATGCACTTTTGGTAATATTTCATGTGTTTTGAGATCAAAGTATCCTACTGTACCATCTTATACGAGCGAGGGACATCAAGCAAAGCTAATGGAAGTTAGAAATCATAGATGGATCGAGATTCATAAATTGGTGCAAAATTTATGTTACTCATATAAAAAATGTCAGCACGAGAGCCCTTCTTCAAAAGTTTCGGAATTGTCCAGATTCGTAGAGGTAGTAGTTAGGAGAAAAGCTAGACAACGACTTTACTTTGCCCAGGTAGTACGTCACTAGACTGACGACTCGGTCAAACTCAGAGGGAGGATTAGTAGAGTAATTTGCACCCTAGCCTCCATTTTCCTATTATGGTCGCCGATTCTCATGGCATTATGGGGGTAATGTTTCAACTGGTTTTGCTAATAATCAAGTCACCATGATCTCTTCGCCAACTTAATCAATTAATTAACTCCCTTGACAAACATCTTGTCTATGAACAAAAATGATGTGATCTCATTCTCACGAGGCTAGCCGCGGTTAACACTTTGTACAATGTCTACACAAGTTTGAAGAAGACACAAACGATAGTACACCATACAAATAAAGAGTTGGAAATGTTTGAAACCCAAAAAGAGGGTCTCCACTAAATTCTCATTCAACCAAACCTCAACTGGCCCCAATCATGTATGTAGTTAGTTTGATAAGTGCATACATATAGCCCATACCCACGGTTACGCTGAAACACACAACATTATGACAAGAAGACAACTGGCCGTCAGGGAAAAAGAAAGACGAAAGGAAGAAAGGAAATGATGAAAAA